CCAGGGCCATCCATGTACTATGCTTGCGTGCATTATCACGCGCACGCAGCTGCGGGCGGTGGTTGTGTGTTGCGAAGACGTCGAGCGAACCAAAGTGCACAGGAAAGGCTGCGCTGCTGAACCACCGTGGGCCCGTAGGTACACAGATGCAACCCTCACTCGCAATCTATCCAATCGTCCCAGCAGTGAAAATGGCGGCAGCCACGGAAACACATGCATGTGCGCTCGCGTGGCGGGAAAGAAAATGCAAACTACAAAGAACGCACGGAAAATGCGTGCCCTTGCTTCCTTGAACTGAACCCTGTACTGACCCCGCTGTACGTGTACATGGTACGGTCCCTCTTCCTTATCCGCGCACACACCCCACGCACACATACGCACCGAACCAATCTTGATGCCTGCAGGAGTTACCCAGGCGGTCTCGTTGAACTTCTCAGTCACCACAAGAATTTTGTCGCAGATTTCCTTGGGAGGCTTCGGCGGGGGCTTGTGCTGCGGCTTCTCGCGGTCATGTTCCTTTCCGCCGCCGAAGACAGGTCCAGCGCTGAGCAGCAGCAGTGCCGCCAAAGCAAGCAAGGTCGTGTTGCTACCGCTGCTGCTGTGGCGAGACATGTCGATTTGTTGCTCTCGACAGGTGTGGATGTGCAGATGTCCCAATGGACAATAAGGCGTGATTATATGAAAGTGTAATGGGGCGAGTGTATTGATTGAACAAGATGATGTACTCAGGAATGTGACCGACATCACTCTATATACTCGATCGCGTGCTGCAGGTACAACGTTATCAGCCGACCCGAGACTGTAGCTATAGCCGGTCCGAGACTAGCCGACAGCAGTAACCCAGCCGAGCCAAAGTCGGTCGGCCGAGCCAATCTTGTCGATCACAGACCGAGCTATTCAAACCTGGCAGCACTGAGGCGATCGACCGGGCTGGCCGAGCATGGAATCCCGACGTCCTCCGGATGCCGTATACTACTGCTGCATCTCGTTCCGCCATAAAAGACGAAGTCTGCACCCGTGGATGCCCGCCTCTAATGTTTCGGTGACCGTATGCATGCGCAATATGTACCCAGATAGATATATGTGGGCACACAACGCAGGCAGGGCTACATTCCATGCGACAAGCCGACACAGCTTGTTGGCTGGAGCAATGAACTTGTACCGTCGGAATATTATCTACTCTTCATTTCAAGACAGAACCATATTCATTCTGAATTAGGTATATTTTTCACCAACAAAAAGGCTGGTGGGTGGCTGGGCGATATTGTCGCCGAATAATACTGCAGCAGCATAGCACTTACTACGACACGTAGTGCGATCCAACCAATGACATTGGCGTATATCGAGGTCTGAATAATGACAGCAATACCAATATGGTCGCTATTACACGTAGCTTGGGCGTGATAGCGAGCTTTGAGTATCCTGCTTCTTGCTGAGAACATGTCCTGAGAGCTCGGAACCCGTCATCTATGCACCATTAACGTCGTAGGGCACACGCCTGAAGAGTATTTACAACTGCTGCCGTAAAAATCAAAGTAGATTTCAAATGGGTAGAGGATTTATCATAGAGCATCATCATTGTGGATTGAAGGGTTTATCTCGTGTGGTTTTACCCTCTCCCCTAATGAGAAGCAAACTAATTCCAAACGACTGTTGCGTGTACATTGCCTTCCATCCACTGCTGGGAGCTGCACCTGAGAGACTCATACTGATGCTCTGCCCTGCTGCTCTGGCAATTACTATTCATGTGGTGGCTGGGCAGCTGCAGGCGTTTCGCCTTTCAAAACTATTGCTGCGCCCGCGTCATTGCGACACATACTTGCAGCTGTCTAGTTGCCAGGCGTAACTGGATCCTTGGTTCGCGCGGTGTAAGTTGCGTCCGTAAGCGTTGTTACACAGCCAGATAGAGGTAGCGATTTCTTCCTCAGATGGTTATTACCACTGTACGGCCGGCGTGAGCCCGCCTGACACTTATCCATACTACGGTCGGCACTCACACGCACATACACACGCCCGCACCCCTATATATCCTTCATACGTGAAGCATACGCGGAGGATGTGTATCTGGATAGATCACGTGGGAGATAGAGCTGGCAGGGCGCAGTGTCGGAAGAAAACATATTTCCACGTACGGCAAGCAAGTAGCAACAAACGATACATACGTGCATGCGACAAGCCCTTGCATGCACATGCATTCAGTTTGCATGTTCGGCTATTGTCTGTGTGACTGGAAGTCAGCGCCCCAGCACCCAAATGCAGATCGGACGATAACAGCTACATTTGTATAGATCACGCGCATCTGTTACCGTCGGCGTACATACATACATACGTGCGTGCAGGCGACAACAGAGTAGCAGGCGGGCAGCAATCCCTTCACCAGTCGGACAATGATTCTCATCAGATGGATAGCTCAAATCAGGCGTTTCTATCCGGAGTTGATAGATAAACCATGTTCTTCCAACAGTTCTTCATTCCTAATATTA